GCATGTTGGATGCCGTCTTCCTCCCTTATGAGTACAGAGCTGATGGCCGCTGGGCTAACCCCAAGGTAGAGGTAGAGGGTCTCCCCTACCTTGGGTTTGGAGAGCACAGGAGGTGAAGATTGAATTTTTGGAGTGTCCTGGCATTCGTTTGAGCTCGTCGAAAGCCCCCTGGCATTCTGGAGTCCATAGAAAGCCAGCCGTCTTCCTCATGATCTGGAAGAAGGGTAGAGACTTCTCCGCTGATTTAGATAGAAAGCGGTTGAGGGCTGCCAGGCGGCCCGTCAACCGTTGAACTTCCTTCACGTTGCGTGGGGGCTCCATGTTGATGATGGCCTGGATGTTCTCGGGATTGGCCTCAATACCCCTTCGGCTCACCATGTAGCCCAAGAATTTGCCCCCTTGGACGCCAAAGGTGCACTTCTTCGGGTTTAGCCGAAGGTTGAATTTTTGCATGATGGCGAAGATTTCCCGGAGGTCGTCAGCATGGCTGGAAGATTGTTTGCTTTTGACGATCATGTCGTCGACATAGGCCTCCATGGTGCGCCCTAGGACGGCTTGAAAGACCCGGGCCACCATCCGGGTGTAAGTGGCCCCCGAGTTCTTTAGGCCGAAGGCCATCACTAGGTAGCAGAAGATGCCCTCGGGAGTCATGAAGGCAGTTTTTTCGGCGTCCTCCTCGTGCATGAAAATTTGATGGTACCCTCGGAAGGCATCGAGGAAGGACATGATCTCACATCCCGCGGTCTCATCCACCAATTGATCAATGTTTGGTAGAGGGAATGGATCCATAGGGCATGCTTTGTTGAGATCGGTGTAGTCCACGCACATGCGGAAGGTAGGGGGCTTCTGTGCGAGGACTACATTCGCTAGCCATGAGGGATATTTTACCTCCTTGATGTGCTTAATAGAGAGGAGCATGGCGACCTCCTTCTTCATAAATTCCCTCCTCTCGGCGGAGAGGGGCCTCCTTCGTTGTTGTACTGCTTTTGCCGAGGGGTCCACCGAGAGGCGGTGGGTGATGACCCTTCGGCTGATTCCCGGCATGTCCTCCGGCCCCCATGCAAAGACAGTGGAGTAGGTGCGGAGGGCATCGGTGATACCGGTCCTCAAATCTTCAGGGAGCTGAGCTCCAATCTTCACGACTCTCTCCGGCTGGGCCGGATCGAGCGCAAAGTCTTCTACGTCCTCGGCCGGTTCAGCCCTCGGCCTTCTTTCCTCTTGGTCGACGGCTCCGGTGATGGTGTCAACACGGAATTCCGTCTTGCTTACCTTCTTAGTGACCTGAAGATAGCAGGCGCGGGCAATTTTTTGGTTCCCCCGGGAGTAGCCAATGCCCCCCTCGGCGGGAAACTTGAGGCAGAGGTGCCTCATGGAGATGATGGCTTCGAGGTCCTCGAGGGCTGGCCGGCCGAGGATGATGTTGTGGGCGCAGTCAATGTTGACGACGACGCACTCCACCTCGAGCTGGGCTCTATGGAGCCCGTCGCCGAAGATCACCGGGAGGGTTATTACCCCCTCGGAATCAATAGTATCACCGGTGAAGCCGGCAAGAGGGGTCTTAATTGGCCGAAGGGACCCCCTCTCCAGATGCAGCTCTCTGAAGGTGCTGAGGTACATTACATTGACGGAGCTGCCCGTGTCAATGTAAGTTCGGTGAATAATGGTGTCGTTTATCTCCGTCCGAATCACCAAGGCATCCCTGTGAGGAGAAGAAGTAGGAGGGAGATCTGCGTTGGTAAAGGTGATGGGTTCCTCCCTGAGTCGCTTTACTGGGGGCATATGAGTGACTTCCCCCACGTAAAGCGATTGAGCCCACTTCTTTCGTTGGCTGGTGGAATCGCCCCCTGTATTGCCACCGGTGATCATGAGGATGTGGCGTTTCTTCTCCTGGTAGTGGGGGTACTCCTCCTCCTCTTCTTCCAAGTTTCCGATCTCCCTCTTCTTGCCGAGGGGGATGGTGTTCGGATTTACCCAGGCATTTACCTTCGTATGGTGCCCTCGGGGAGGTCCCTGATGAGAAGGTCCCTCCTGCCGAGGGCTCTGGACAAACTGGGACAGGTGCCCTGCCTGTATTAATCTCTCGATGGCCGTCTTCAGCTGATGGCAGTCATCGGTCCTGTGCCCCTGGTGCCGATGGAAGCGACAGTAGGGGAACTGAGGGTTGATAGCGTGTACCTCCGGGGGTGCGCGAGAATCACGCTCAACGAGGCCCCTCTCCTCGGCAAAATCGAGGATGATGCTGACGGGGTGCGTCAATGGGGTCCGAGGGCGGTCCAGGAGAATGGGCTGGGCCCAAGTTTTAGGGTTGCTCCTATAACCTCCCTCGGGCTTGGCTTGGCCTTGCCGAGGGCGGTCATCAGAGGGTCCCGAAGCCTTGGGGCGATTTGGAGGAGCCCCCGGCCCTCGGTTGTGCTTGTTGTCAGCCCTCGGGGGCTGCTGGTCCGGATGCTGGTGATACTTCTCCACCTCCTCGGCCTCAGCATATCGGTCCCCCCGCTGCAAAGCTCTTATGTAGTCGCGGGGGGGTTCAATGATGAGGCTCCTTGAAAAGTTACCGGTGCGGAGGACGGTTTGTAGGAGGGCCAGGAGGGTCCCGTCATCAGCACCGTCGACCTTGTCGGCCTCCGTCCTCCAGCGCTCCAGGAAATCCCGAAGGGTCTCATCCTTCTTCTGGCGTATTGTTAGGAGGTGGGAAAAGTGCTTCCTTGTGCGACGCCTCCCGGCGAATTGTGTCAAGAATCGTTGGGCGAGTTCTTGCCACGAATCAATGCAGCCCTCGGGCAGCCTGTTGAACCATTCGTATGCCGGTCCCTCTAAGGTGGAGAGGAACCATCGACACAAATATTCGTCTGACGCCCCCACCATCATCATGCTGTTCTGGTATTTGCTGTAGTGTTCCTGGGGGTCCGTTTTCCCGTTGTAGGGCTGTATGTGTTGCCCTCGGTATTTTTCCGGGATCCGGGCCGCCAATACCCTTGGGGTAAATGGCGTCCGAGTCCGGAGCTGGATGACGGGTTCCCCGGAGCCCTCGGCCACCCTCTTTTGTAACTCCTCCATTTTGGCCATCATGGCCTCGTATTTGAGATCTGAATGAGGGGTGGAGGTGGTGGCGTGAGCTTTGTTGGACTCCATCTCGTCAAGCCGGCGTTGGAGGGCCGCAATAATCTCGTCCCGGGGATCCTTCGGGAGGGTCTCCGCCCCCTGCGAACGAACCCGGGCCGAGTGGGCCTGGTTGATTTGGTGGCGAGCATCATCGGCATGAAGGGGTGCCTTGCCTTTGTCCCGAGGGGGACGCTCCTCGTCTGCCCTCGAAACAGATCCCCCGCTTTCCTGGGGCCTTTGGAGTGCTTTCCCCCCGAGGCGGTCTTGGACCCCTCGGCGGTCTGGCCCTCCTCCGAGCCGGTTGAGGGCGGAAGTACGAGGCCTTTCCCTGTTGTCATTATGGCGGTCCCGGGACTGAACTTCCTGGGAGGACGTTTCTTGGGCCACCACCCCTTCGTCGTTTCTCACCCGAGGGGCGGGATTTCCGAAGGGGTGTGGCAGAGGGGGAAGTATGATGTTTTCCCCAACCTGAGGGTGAGCTGGAGCCAGGGTGCCGAAGGCACCCGGGTTCTGGGTGAGCGTCTGGATGAAGGCGGAGAGCGCCGATTGCACGTCGATGGTGAGAACCGGAGGGTTGACTTGGTCATCGCTCCGGTTTTTCTTCTTGGCCTCGATGTCGAGGCAGGCATCGGGGGCATTTTGTTGGATCTGAAGGCGTAGGTCGACAGCCGCCTGTTCCAGCCCAGCGATGACACCGCCCTCGGGAGCCCTGTGAGAGGCTTCGGGGGCGTTGACGTCGCCGAGGGCCAGGTTCTTGTCTTCTACGTTTTTTGAGTTGGCACGTGTTGTCCTCACCATTTTGATAGAGGGCTAGTGTTTTGTGTTTGGTCGAGGGGGAGGGTTTCTTACTCGATTGTTCAACCTCTCAACGAGAGCACCAAATGATGGATAGTCTACCCGGGGGTATATATCCGAAGGGTTATTGCGGGAAGTAACTTAGAGAGAAGTCAGAGCAAGTAAATAAAAGTAGAGAGAGAGTGTATTCAGTATGAATGCCGTTTTCAGCGTGTTACGACTTGGTTACAAATGGGGAAAAGGGGTGCTATTTATAGTAGCAATAAATGCCGGGCAGGGACACGTGTCAAACGTTCATTGGCCGAGGGGTCACCTCAATTGGTTGGCGCTGGCAGCCGCATGTGGCCGCATTTAATGCGGCTGTTGGATGGGACGTCTGTGCGGGGTACGGTGATCTGTACGCATGTGAGACGGATATCTTGTCGAGTGAGATGCCTTCGGCTATAGAGCAGTAACCGAGGGCTCTTCCACCCGATGGCACCCTGGTGCCGAGGGCTCACAGTGCCGAGGGTTACTGTTTTCGCCATTTTCTCCCAGTTTCTTAATTTGCTTGAGAAACCCGCTCTGTGAGAATTTGGAGCCTTCGGCCAGGGGGCCGAAGGCACCCCTGTGCGTTGTGCGGACTGGCTGGTACTCTGGGCGCTGTGATTTGAGCCTGTTGGGCCTTCTGGGTCTGTTGGGCCTTCACTGGAGTAGTAGGAGTCTGTGGGCCGGGGGTTCCCGGGCCATATACTCCATCAGTGAACCTTCTAAATTCTAATGGGACGGAGAGAGTACTTTCAAAAGAAAGAAAAAAACTAGCGACCATATAAGTAAAGATGTTTGTTTTGTTACAAATAGAGAGTGAAGTGTGTATAAAAGACTTTTTTCTTTGTTCTATAGTGATCATGATATTAGAGCCATAAAAAATTTTCTATCGTAAACGACTTATGTTAATGTACTAGAAATCCTTATACTACTCTCGTCCCCATGTTATTGTCTCATTGCGGTTTATGATGTTTGACTGGCGATAAAGCAAACAGATCCCTGTCCGCATTAGAATTATTTTTAGAAAAAAAATTGCATATTCAGAAACTACATTAATTTTTGTAAAGTAGCAAAAACCAGAATAAAATTTGATAAAAATTTGATAAATAAAGTAAGAGAGATAATCCAAATGAATAAAAATGGGACAATAACGAGAGACGGACGGAGTATTTAATAGCAATACAAATCAATCAAATCATTCATCCGGAATAGATCACCACCGTTCACCTCACGCTAGCTCCTCTTGAGTGGCACATTCACCTTCTTCCATTCGTATGAAAATTACTTCCTTTTTCAGTCGCAGGCGGCAGGCCAGATCATCGAAGAAATAGCTTCTGCCACACCTTCGAGTAGTTCTTCTTCAATCGATTGGACCTTCCGATTCGAAGTTGATAATCCTTGACATCACGTGTTTCCGATCGCTGACCTATCCTCCGGTTTTTCCCATGGAGAATGTCTGTTCCTTGAAGTTGGAAAAGGCACCAGGCCACAACCATTGAAGCAGCTAGGTAGAACACGCAACTGCCATATATGCAAACCTTCCACTAAATGATGATCATATTTTCTTCCCGACCAGCTTTTTTTGTGTTTGGGAAAAAATTAAGTTTTCACTAATGCGGTTTGAAAGACCGGAACCAAACTTAATTTCAGCTGATAAGCATTTTGCAGCGGCTCTTCTAACCTTCCAGCTGACATCTTCATCGTCGGTATACTCATCAGCACTTTCACTACAATTCCATTAAGGATCATACATTCAGCATAAACTATGAAGTAATGATGTGTAAAAAGTGTATAACTAAAAATATCAGGTATTAGCAAACTCGAAGTCATAAGTATGTCTTACTCATCCTCATCTTCCTCCTGAATTTCATCATCAGTGTCTTCCTCCATATTATCAGTGAAATTGGGATCATAACTCAAGAATTTCAAAGTAAGATGCAAAATTTCATTACAGTAAGAGGAAATATCCCTGTGGCACCTTAGCAAGAAACTCTCAAGTGCCTGCAGTGAGAGAATATTTAAACCCAAGTCCATAAGAACACACAAAGAATGTTTGATGAATTTGATAAAGGACACATATTCACAAAGAAACACCTGTAAACTATACTCGCGAAGTTCCTCATCATTCTCAGATGCAGTTGTACAATAGTTTATTAGTACTGGAACTGCATCAGCCAAGTGGGGGCCAAAACGATAGCCAACAGCACGGCTTATAAATAAAAAAAATACAGTGTTTAGTACGTAAGAAACATTTAGTATAAAAAGAAAATATCCAAAATTTATACTTCCTCCGTCCCATACACTTGGTCAAAGTTGATTTGCACGTAGATTAATATAGTAAAAACTGTGTGGTTGATATTTGTGCAGAGGAGAGAGAAATAACTTTAGCCACATATGTGTTACTTTAAATGGAAATGGCAAAGTTTTTGGGACGGCTAAAAAGGGAAAGTTGACCAAGTTTTATGGGACAGAGGTAGTACTACACTACAAATAGTAGTCACTTAAAAGACACCATAGATACGTAGGCAGAAGAGATCAACATGTACTAACTAAAGCAGGAGTACTCTTACCAGCACAGTTTGAACCTCCCCCCCCCCCCCCCCCCATGTATTCTTACCTACAAATTTACAATGCACCCCATTTGCTAAAAATTGAAAACTATACATTATTATATTTATTTAAAATATAACAATTATAAATGTAACTAAGTACCACATAGTTTAAAGCCCCTTCCCCCCAATGTATCAGTGTATCACCGACAATGCACCCCATTTGCTAACAATTGTCAATCTGCCACACTACACAACATAGTACCCCAAAGCCTCAACCTACTAGAAATTGAACATATTTGGAAAATGCTATAAGTGCAGAAAAAAATACAAACAAGTGATGTGGTTATTGTAATCACCTTTGATGTAAAAGTGATGTGTTAAACAGTATGATGTTGTCACATACTCACATGCCTCTTTTGCAAGACTTTTTGTAAGAGTGTATGTACCTCCAGCATAACTCAACATATTTTATACTCCGTATTATACAATAAAACCGGAATCTCAATGTAATTGAAAAACTAGAATCGCCAAGGACAGAATATAAATGGGCCTATGGGGGTAAAAAGTTCATTTTGTCCAATAACAAAGAAACATATTTTAAATGCATGCACTGAAAGAAACAACTTGAGAGGAGTTAAAAAAAACAAGTGTATTATATGAATGTGCAAAGTGATGTATAGCTACCTTAGTGCCCCAATCATCTGAATGTTAGTTCGTGTCATCTCCGGCTTTGAGCGCTTATTGCTCAAGAGCTTTACAACTTCAGCTGTGACCTTCGCCAACAAATCATCTGACAAGCTTGATGCTAAAGATGCTGATATATATAAGGGGAAAATGGCAGTAGATGAAGTAAATGCTTTAGGAATTAAAACTAATCAAGTTAAAAAATATGTCCCAAATGTACAAACTTACCTAAAGATGAAACTGTTTTCTTTCTAACACTGGCTTGGTTGGAACTTAGCTGAGGTATTAATGCACTCAGCAATACCTCATGATCAGATGTAACCAGTGTTCCATATTTGTGAAGAACATCACACAATATGTCAAGGCATTCACATTTTATTTCAGTATTCATCACCTGAAGAAAAGCATTCATGACACTACCATAGGTAAGTATTCCTATTAAATGAAAAGCCTGCATTCAGGAAGCAGGGAAACTAAACAAACAGAATCATCGTAAATTCATCTCATTATTCCTTTTTTGCAAGTAGGTTGCAACAGGAAGGGAGAATCTAGCGTATATTTTGCCACAATGCTTTTTTACAAGAATTATTAGTGTTAACTAATCTGAGCTGCTAAATTAGTTAGCACTATAAATTTCACGCTACCAAGTACAAGCCCCTAAACTAGTTGGGATTGAAATGATGTTGATGATCAGCCACAAATATATGCAAAATGATATATGGTTAGCAGTTTTCACAAAAGGAACACGAAAAAGGAAGACTGTAATAGGACCAGTGGTACACTATTGTCTAGCTATTTGATTGCAAAACTGACATCAGAAATAACTAATAAGACGAATTTCAAGAACTTACAGGAGCTGTTATTCCCTTTATCAACTTGGGGGAGATAGAGACAAGAATAGATTGGGCAACAGATGAAGGAACTTCAGAAACGATTGTTTTTAATGCAATGCTTGCAATGTCTCGGTGTTGCTCTTTCCCATTTAGCGGTTTATCACACAGCTTGTTTGTCATCTCCAAGACTTGTTGCTCACGAACCTTCTTCACCAAAGGTGCAAGGCTAACCAAGTAAAACAGAATATCATTTATATGTGTCCGGTAAATCAAAGAGGGTGGAAGCTGGGATGCAGACCACCTTCTTCTCATGCAGTTACATAGTGTCTATTAAATCGCAAGGTTTTCCCAGACTGTTGACCATAAATCACACACTTGATCCTACAATGCAGGAATAATACACCATTGCACAATACTTAAGGTGCCAATACAAGGGAAACAAAAAAAAGGTAGCATAAACTCCATAATGAAACACTAAAACCAACAACCAGATTACAAGTATCCCCCCATCCGCTTTTTATTTTTTTACATCAGTTTTATTCACCCAAAAGAAGATTCCAGCAGAGCGGTATCTAAAGGTTGACCATTAATATTTTTCATTCCTTATTAGTAAAAAAATTAAAAAATTCAGATTTTGAAAATTTAAATTATGAGAGGAATTTAACAACATTTTTCAAAAATTTAATTTATAATGCATTAATAAATAAAATGTAATCAAAGTAGAATATGTGAATAGTGCAAAATCACCAATGTTGCAACTAAAAGAGAACAGAGGTAGTATTTTTCAAACCATTTGATGATCATACATGTAATATAGCATCACAGAAAACAGGTCATGACCATCTTGAACTTTATGATATCCCAAAATGTGAAAGGCTAAAATTTGTCTCTTTTTCTTTTGGGTGATAAGGTAAAGTTGGTATAAACAATGCAATATAACACCCACTGAAGCACATATGTGTACATGGAAACAATAACATTTAAAACAAATAAAATGTAAAGTGTGTACCATTTTACGGCCAATCCAGAAACATCACCCGCAGCATCATCTAGCTGTTGTAGTACAACATTTGAAACTTTTGCTTCAAGTTCAGCATCAAGTTTAAATCCTTCTTTGTTCAGTTCGTTGAGCAAATCAGAAGTGGCCATGTATCTGTAATCCTTATCCTTACCCGTCATCTGCAGTAAGTAAAAATTAGGGCATTCCAAAATTAAGCATAAAATAAGTCCAAGCATATTACTGACTTGGGTCTTAAACAAAGATTGGAAAAGGAAATCGGAGAGTTGGATGCCTACCTTTTCCAATATGGTGGTTATGACCATACTGGCCATTGTTGCAAAACCCTACAGAGAGATTGGAATACCTTGATATTGAATTAACTGCCAACAGAGAAGAAAGAGTTTGATACTAAGAGGGATATGATATAGAAAATAATTCATTTAAGGGAATAAACATGAAACTCGGTAAGACATTTTGACAACAAGGAGTCCAAGGACATTGTTTAGGAAGTAAATACATAAACGAAATGAAGAAGAACTGGATAATCTCATAACAAACTGGTTGATAAAACATTTAACCAACCATACTAAACATATAAATATACAATGAACATAACCAATTTTTAAATTACAAATAGGTCCTGATATAGCCCAAAGTAAAGACTGAAGGCAAACTTTTTTAAAGCGAAAAGCGCACAAAAGCGATGAGGTGGGGATTTAGCTTAAAAGAGAAAGCGCTACGCAAAGCGTAGCTTACTCACAAAAAGAGATGCTTATAATAAAATATAAAAATAAAATATATAACTAGTCGTCTACTCGTCTAGTCATATGGGTAAATACATTAAGGGAGCTAATTACAGTTTCCCATGTATCATTTCTAGCTGAAATTAGATGAATATGGGGTCAAAACTCAAAATAGACAAAAGCAGAGTATTTTAAGTCATAGCAGACTACTCTACTAGTCTACTAAAAATATAGGTAACCAACGCAGCCAAAATATAGGTGTCTAACAGTCAACCAGTTTAGAGGAATTCATTTTCCTTAAAAGCCATACATGTGCGGGATATTGCACTCTTCCGACTTTTGTATTCTCATTACATGCTTTCCAGGGGGATTTGTACAGGATTTCGATATCCATATTTTAATCCCCTCAATTCTGAGTCATGTACTACCGGATAAAGCTGTATAATTGATAAAACCTCACCTACCTAGGGAGTTTTTAAAAATGCAACACATTTTTCAGGACAAAACACTACATTAAGCAAATGTGAGCGCCCAGTTTTAAGCTCATTTTTTAAGATTTGAAAGGAATCAGATTTGTTTTATGATTGAAAAGGCATCAGATATTAGTTGGATCATGAAGAAAATGATTGGAATGCTATATTGATCACGTTAAATTTGAGGGGGGGAACAAAACAAAGCTTTTTCAAGTATTTAGAGATCTTTTTTTGGTAAAAAGAAACTAAAAATAGAAAATAAGGTGTACTCGAATACCGCTTTTCTTTATTACACTTCAACAATAAAAGTCTAGCAGCCAGTTAGAAGAAAAAGAAAAAGAAGAACTCTAGCAGTTAGAACCCTGGAACTCTTACATTTAAAAATAATGTTAACGAAGAAGTCTAGCGATGTCAGGACTCAGGAACGATGAGAAGGAATCTTTACCTAAGAGAAGTCGATTGAAGCAGATAGAGAGGCCAAGAGAGTCGAGCGATGTCAGGACTCAGGAACTATGTCTTTACCTGCGACTTTGTCTGAAAGAGTAGAATAACCGGAACGATAATAACCCTAACGTCCATAGACGACGGTAAGTCTTAGAAAAAGGGGTACTGTTACAAATGTTAATGAGACCATAATTAAATAAAATATTTCACAAATATATAGTACCTCTGTGTGGAAAAGGTTCAACAGATTGACTTTTCTTTGTAAATGATTTTAATATTTGTATATAATTTATAAATTTTATTTTTTTATGAAAATATTTGAATTAAGGAACAATTTGATATAATTTTCATATTCAAAATAATTTCATATTAAAAAATATTATCCGTCAAAGTTGATTGTCATAAATCAAGAAAAAGTCAATTTGACAAACCTTTTCGTGAGTAAGGGAGTATATTATAATGTAGTTAGTATTGGTAATTGTGATATTATAAATGTATTACTTTTAATATTTAATGATTAATTTGTCACTTAATTGTTAATTGTTTCCTAAAATGGAAATGAGAACCTTTATATGGAATGCCCAAAAAAGAAAAGTATGAACCTTCTAAATTCTAATGGGACGGAGGGAGTACTTTCAAAAGAAAGAAAAAAACTAGCGACCATATAAGTAAAGATGTTTGTTTTGTTACAAATAGAGAGTGAAGTGTGTATAAAAGACTTTTTTCTTTGTTCTATAGTGATCATGATATTAGAGTCATAAAAAAATTTCTATCGTAAACGACTTATGTTAATGTACTACAAATCCTTATACTACTTTCGTCCCCGTGTTATTGTCTCGTTGCGGTTTACGATGTTTGACTAGTGATAAAGCAAACAGATCCTTGTCCGCATTAGAATTATCTTTAGAAAAAAAATTGCATATTCAGAAACTACAATAATTTTTGTAAAGTAGCAAAAACCAGAATAAAATTTGATAAAAATTTGATAAATAAAGTAAGAGAGATAATCCAAATGAATAGAAATGGGACAATGACGAGAGACGGACGGAGTATTTAATAGCAATACAAATCAATCAGAATCATTCATCCAGAATAGATCACCACCGTTCACCTCACGCTAGCTCCTCTTGAGTGGCACATTCACCTTCTTCCATTCGTATGAAAATTACTTCCTTTTTCAGTCGCAGGCCCAGATCATCGAAGAAATAGCTTCTGCCGCACCTTCGAGTAGTTCTTCTTCAATCGATTAGACCTTCCGATTCGAAGTTGATAATCCTTGACATCACGTGTTTCCGGTCGCTGACCTATCCTCCGGTTTTCCCCAAGGAGAATATCTGTTCCTTGAAGTTGGAAAAGGCACCAGGCCACAACCATTGAAGCAGCTAGGTAGAACACGCAACTGCCATATATGCAAACCTTCCACTAAATGATGATCATATTTTCTTCCCGACCAGCTTTTTTTGTGTTTGGGAAAAAATTAAGTTTTCACTAATGCGGTTTGAAAGACCGGAACCAAACTTAATTGTATCTCCGTATCTTGCAACTTTATCTAGAGGGAAATAGATAGTAATGTATGTGAATTTGATGTAGAATAGAACTTCATTTCCCTCCGTATCTCATTAATTACAACATATACGCAGACCTTTACTTTGACTACATTTTATTTATTAATGTATGTGAATTATTTTTTTTGAAAAATGTTGTTAAATTCATCTCATTACTAAGTTTTATAATCTGATTTTTATTTTATTTTTACTAATACAGAATTAAATATAATGACGATCAAAATTGTGTATTGGCAAACGTGAAATGTTGACTGTTGCAACTAAAAAGAGACGGAGGAAGAAGTAGTAGGATGGGTAAAGGCTGGCATATGTTTAATGTTTGTTTGGCTTTTAATTTTCTATTAAATCCAGACAAATAATATCTACAAGTGAACTTTTTTTTAAGATAAATGTCTAAACTTATAGATTCACACAAACTTTTTTAATTAGTGTCAATAAGATAAATGTTGAACATATTAGGTCAGTGTGCTAAAGCTCAAAGGCGGTTAGAGTAACTTAGTACAGGGCTACAGATATGACTCATTTGAGCAGATAGAGCGTAGTTTTCACTTGGATCAAAACCTTGACCTTTTTTCTTTTAGCTAAGATTTTCCACTCAAAATGGTTTTATTATATATTAGGGATTGCTTGATAAACTAACCTTCTTTTTAAACTTTAGATCAGCTGGAGGGAAATTTGATGTCGAACAGAACTTCAGATATATGTTGTTTTAAAAAGAGTGACAAATAGAGGTGGCTTCAGCTCAATAAAAATATAAATAGGTATAATTACTGCGCAAAGAAAGTAACAGTGATTTTTTCGTAAAATAATACTCTCTCTTTCCTGCAAAACTTGGTCATCTTTGCTTTTCTTGATCATTGATGGTAGGGGTGGGTTCGGTTCTTGCGGTTCGGTTTTGACCTAAAACCAAATATAGAATCAAAGTAAAAAGTTCGGTTCGGTTTCGGTTCGGTTCTACACACCAAAACTTGGAACCACGGTTTAATTGGTTTGGTTTGTTTCGATTCGGTTTCGGTTTTTTCGGTTTTTTACCAAAAAATTATCATTTGATTTAAAATTGATATAATACTTTGAGGGATCAAACATATATTACATAAAGAACGCAAACACAATACAACAAATAAAATAAAAATGAAAATAAATAAATATGTCATGAATTATATGAGTATGCGAGAGAGATAAAAGTATATATTATTAATTTACATTGCTTGTGACTAGTTCAAAAAAAGTTCATGAGTATATACGTTATATGTGATATAGTTGAGATAAATATTTATTGTTTCATCAATACGAATTCTTTAAGTTAAGTAAAAATAAAAGTTAATTAATACTAATAACATGTAAAAACATATCATCAGTATAGCTACATTATTACGTGCAATGAATGTGTAAATGAATTCACAAACTAAACTAAACATAACAAACATTATTTCTCTAGCACAAGAAAACCAAAAACTATTAATGATATTAGGGTTAGTTAGGATTAATGCTTAACAATGGACAAATAAATTTTACTCCGTATATTTTAACTAGTTCGGTTTGTTCGGTTCAGTTTTTTACATTCGGTTTCGGTTTGTTAGCGGTTCGGTTTTACTTAGCTACGGTTCGGTATGATTTGATTCTGTTTTCGGTTTTCGATTTTTCGGACCCAACCCTAATTGATGGTCAAGTTTGATCTTTAATACGGAGTATTTTTTAATATGAAAGTTTTTGGGTTTTTTTACAAGAATATTACTAAAATAAAACATATTTACATAAATATGACTATTCATTACTACAATGTGATGTTGTGGTAACTTAAGCTCAAAACTTGAACATGAATTACTATGATTTCATTACTACTCTAATCATTAGTCATATTTTTGTAAATCGTCTTTATTTTGGTCATATTTACGTAATTATTTCAAGTTTTTAAGTATGAAAAATATATGAAATTCTTTCTTTTAACATAAAAGGTAAAATTTCCAAGTAAACAATACACAGTTTTAAAATTTCCAGGTAATCAAACCATCTTACATAAATTGCTACTAGCTGTATAATAGTCCTTTAGTTGATAGTTTCTTTAAACAACCTTAGAGGATCATTTTTCCCATTAGAAAATAGTAGCCCTTTTTGGAACTAAATTTAAACCAATTTTTTCACGTTCCTTTAAGCCCCCATTTCGGTAGATTGACAAGGTCCAAAGAGGGTCAAAGGGTATAGAAGGGCTTTCATATTCCATTAATTGGTCTCCTTAAACATCGTGCCAAAAGCAAACGTAAGCTTTTATCCGGGACAGAGGGAGTGTTTTTTTCTTAAAATCTTTTTTTGCCAAAAAAAATCATTTTCTTTTTGTTTCAATAGCAGGATTTTACTTAAATAGGGAACTGGTTCTGTTTTTTTAATATTAAGGCGTTAAATATGTTTTAAAAAATCATTTTTTTGCCAAAGAATTATGTTTTTGCCAAAACATGCATTTTTGAAAAAAAAAACAATTCTTTTGTTTCAATAGCAGGACTTTAGCTTGTGATGTAACTCGTGTTATGGAAAATGTAACTCGCGTTGATTCTTTTTTGACGATATGTAACTCACCTTGAAGAAAAATATAACTTAGGTGTATGCAAAATATAGCTTCTTGAAGCAAGCACCAATGTAAGTGACACATAGAAAGATGTAACTCACGCACAAGTAGATGTTACTCCCGCATCAGAAAATGTAACTTCATTTACTACCAAAGGTAACTCCTTATAATGTCTATAACCACAACTCACACATATGAAAAATGAAATATCATGTTTTCTCATATTTAAATCGAAATAAACAAACTTAATGTTTTTAAAACACTAAAACATATAAAAGAGATAAGAAATTTATTATAGAAAAAGTGTATGAATATGAAAAATATTTTACAAAAAAGTGTATAAATACAAAAAAAAAATACACAAAAAATAAATTCGGTAGTAACTTAAGATGAAGAAAAAGGTAAAAAAAAAATAGAGCATTATTATGAAATACAATATACTTATTGTAGCGGGTTAATAAATTTTTGTAATAAATTGGTAAAGAAAGAAGTTAATTCAGGTGTAATTTAATTAGTTGAAGATAAAGATAAGTAAAAAATAACAAATAATTAGATGTAACTCACGCATAATTAGATAAACTCGTGCATAAAAAGATGTAACTTGCGCATAATAGAAATAACTCATGCATAATAAGATGTAACTCACACATGATAAGATGTAACTCACACATAAGAGGATGTAACTTCAGATAATCAAATGTTACTCCAAGAATCAAAATAAACAAACTCAATGTCTTAAAACTCTCTAAAAACCTATAAAAGAGATAAACAATACTCGTACATTATAGACAAAGAGTATGCATGTAAAAAATATATTACAAAAAAGTGTATGAATATAAAAAATATATTACAAAAAAGTGTATGAATATAAAAAACACTACAGAAATAAGAATAGTGTATGAATATAAAATGCAATATACTTATTCTATTTAGATCGATAAACTTTTTGTTATGTATTGATATAGAATAAAAAATTGATTCAATTATAATTTAAGTTGAAGATAAAGAAATGTAAAATTACAATTAACTTTTTAGTATTCTAATTTGATGTAACAATGCTCCAAGAGGAAAGAAAAAGGAAAATCAACTATCTAAAGTGGGATCGGCACACCATGCAAATGGTGGGCTGATCCCACAATATAGTTTGCGGCGAAACTAGTATATGTGATTAGGGATGGATTGGGCCGGGCGGCAGAGGCGGCTTGAGCATTTTGGAGGCCCAGACGAAAAATATTTACTATGTACAAATCACTTTTAAAATCAGATAAATTGAATAAAAATCGCCTTATGAAAAAAAAACATATTCAAAGTCCACGATATAATGTTTGTAATATTCAAAAGGATAAATTTTAAAATGCAAACTTATTCAAAACACAAGGCAAACTTGTACTTGTAAAAGTATTAAGAGACTTCAAGAACGAGACTCAGAGAGAAGAACTTAAGTTTATTGCTACTATCAAGTTAATATACGACGCTTGTTCTATATTGACTCGATAGTAAGTTTTATTAATGAACGCATCTCGTTATTAATAACTACCCTCGATGAACTGGATATACTCCTCGATTGAGTATTCGAGAGGAAGATAGTTAAAGATATAACCGGGATCGACAAACATTTCATTAAGTGGATAAAAAGCAAAACCAAGTCCTCATCTCATTGAATTAAACTCATATAGGTTGTTTATCTTAGTGTTTTTAAATCAAACAAATCTAAACCCCCCTTGTTACTACTTATATAAAAGAAAAATATTCCTTTCCCTGTGGATACGAACCTTACTTCGTTATACTACGTATATTCGTTGTATTGTATTTATTTTGAGTGCACCTCACGACAAAGTGCACGTCATGAAGAGTCTTAGTTGATTCACTAACCAAGGACTCATGTCGACGGCGGGCAGTGAGGCATATATACAGTAGCCGATTAGCGGTCTGTGTTGGACGTTGATGCGTGTTGAGATCGGATTTTGATAGTTTTTTCCTAACTTTAAGGTATCATAAGTCTCAATTTTATGCTCAAGTCATATTTACCTGCCGTTGGTTCGAGTTTTGGTATTTTTGGAGTCAAAATCAGGGAATTTGAGCATGACACCACCGATGGTTGAGAAGCAATAGGGACGAGTTGAGAAGCATTTTAGAGTTGATTAGGAGCATTGGAGATCAGTGATGTGTTAAAGACAAAGTTTTGAAGACAAAAGAGCTCTAGAATTGGCTACGAGATCAAAAGAAGACGAATAGAGCTTGAAAACAACGATCGGGATGACGTTCTGTCAATCGTTCAAGCATATCTTTTCTTAGGAACATCCAAAAAACATGATTGAAGTTTCATATGAAAGCCAACTTCAAGGGCTACAAATCATATGAAGACACCATTGTGAGAATCTGAGAGAAGCAAGGTGAAAACAGACGATGAAGTCAGACAATCTCTGTTGAGATTTCAGAATGCGACCTTCCACCATTTTATTCATATATTTTTATTGGATGATTCAAATCCAGTTTTGCAAGTTTTGTTGGATAG